AAAAAGTGAAAAAAAAAAAAAACGCACTATTCTTCCTGGGATCCCAACTGGTCCAGGGTCACCTGCCTCACCGTCCTCTCCCTAAGAGGAAATACATGTTAACGTAAATTATACAGAAAATATAATCTGGTCAGTCAGAAACATTTTCAGTTCTTTACCTTCTCCCCTACGGCACCTGGTTGTCCTATCATTCCTGGTCTACCATTTTGTCCCTGTGAAACACAAAGATTGTCATTCACTCAAAACTTGTGATTAAAAATAATAATTAAAAAAATTAAATATACTTACCTGTCCCCCAATTGGACCTTGAGCACCAACAGGGCCTTGCTGCCCTGGTGGACCCTAAAACCAAATGATTACGAAGACTTAGCATGATTTTTTTTTCTATTAATGCAAAAATAAGGAGCCATATAAACAGAATTTGAGCTCACCATTAAGCCAACGTGTCCGCTCTCACCCTTTTCTCCGGGCAGGCCAGGCATTCCCTTAAAGAATACATAGAGGGTTAATCAGYCTGTTTCCATTATGTCAAAGTTTAAATGTGATCATGCATCCACACAGATAGCTCACCTGTAATCCTCTTGGTCCCTTGGCGCCCTTAAAGCCACGTGATCCTTCATCACCTTTTGGACCGTACATGCCCTGCTGGCCTCGAAGACCTGGCAAGCCATCCACACCCTGTTACACAAGCAGTAAATGGTAAAATGGTAAATGGTAAATGGTAAATGGACTGTACTTATATAGCACCTTTCTATCCATCCAGGACACTCATAGCGCTTCACACCACAGACATTCACCCATGCACACACACATGCACACACTGATGATGGCAAACTACAATTGTTACCACAGCTGCCCTGGGGCACACTGACAGAAAATAATATGATCACTCCCAATGAACAGACATTTTGGATTTCATTTTGAACAGTGGAAAGTGAGTTGTTTTGACAATCTTGTAAATTTTTTTAATGTTAATAGTTCAACTTTTAAAAAGGAGTCTACAATATATACTGTACATTTTACACTCTCTTTGAATTAGTCTCCCACTGTCCACCCACCTGCCAGAGAGTCTTTTACCACATTTAAAAACACACTCAAAACTCATCTTTTCAGACCTATCCCACATAACGCAACTGATTCATTAGTAATGATGTATTTAACAAACATAGACTTAACAAAGTTTCAACCTCTAAGATTGTGACTGTTTTTGTGAAGCAGTAAATTTTTAATTGTCAAAACACCAAAAGAAAAGGTTAGCAGAATAAAAATAAAATCAAAGACTCACTGGRAGTCCTGGCTGACCAACTGGCCCCTGAGTGCCAGTAGGGCCTGGAGGCCCCTGCAGGAAATGTGGAAAAAGACAAAAATTTAGACATGGTCAGAGAAGCTAGCCATATGGAGCACCATCCATTGGTATGCTTGGTCATCTCCATACTCACTGCTTCGCCTTTGTCCCCCTTACTTCCTTTYTGTCCAGGTCCTCCTTGTTCTCCCTGTGGACACAAACAACTCATCACAGCAGGGCAAACACACTCTGGATCATCCTCTCTGTTTCTTAGGTACACTGAGTCTACCTTATCCCCATCATCTCCTGGAGGGCCTATAGGGCCCGTAGCTCCGGGCATCCCTATTGGTCCTTGATCCCCATCTTGACCTGAAAGTCCAATCGGTCCCTTCTCTCCCTGAGAAAAATATTTCACAAACGTTAAAGTGTGTTTTTTGAAAACAATAAAAACAAATATAAATGTGAAGCAACCAGTCCAAGTATGATAACAAGCAGGGTAAATGTAATTACAGGCTCGCCCTTCTCTCCCATTGGTCCAGGTCCTCCAATGGCTCCAGCCCGACCAGGTTGTCCAATGGCGCCAGCTGGTCCAGGAGGTCCCCTTTCTCCTGTTGGTCCCTACAGACAACAAGCTGGGCTTTAAATATGTTAAGGTATAAAAATTAAGATGCATAAAAAGAATCCTGAGGGTTTTTGATAATAAAAGGAAAGCAAGCAGTGAGCCATTTTATTATTAAAAACCCTCAGGATTCTTGTGATACTAGTCCAGCAAATTAAATATAAACTGTAGAAACAGGAGAGCTACAYTATAACTCACAATGGCTCCTGGTGATCCACCAGGTCCTGAAGCTCCTTTCAGACCAGGCGGCCCCTGTAAACATCAAACAAGATTGAACCTTAAAGTGCATATTTTTTAAAATATCAACAAATCAGGCAAATTAAATGGTAAGGTGTGTCACCATGATTCCAGGGGCTCCTCTGCTTCCTCTGAAGCCTTTCAGACCTGGTGGACCATTCTTCCCAGATGTCCCAGGTAAACCAGGATCCCCCTAAAAGGCCATGAACCAAAAACAGAATAGGTCATAATAAATATAAAGTAGTATAGTTGAAACATAATTAATGTTAACTGTGTTAATTAGGAGTTTATGACCTTTCCGCCCTCCTTTCCAGCAGCTCCAGGTAAACCGTGCTCTCCAGGCACACCTGGTGCTCCTGGGTGACCTCGGTCTCCCGTTGGGCCAGGTTCTCCTGATTTGCCCTGAAACACAAGTTAGAAAGTCACTGATTGGTTCCTTTTATTAATAAAACAACACATTAAAGCATTCACGTGAAGGAGTTTACCTGCGGTCCCACCACACCTGGAGGTCCTGGAGGTCCTGTCTTTCCTTGGAAGCCCTGAAAACAAAAAGTCAGTAGTAAAAAAAAATCCTGTGTTTTCAGACTTTTGTAGTTCCCTCTGGATTGTTTTGGTGAACATGTGTAGAAAGAAGCACAAACCACATTTTGTCATGAAGGCTTTTGTAAAACTCACCGGTTCTCCTCTTTGACCTGGGTGACCTGGAAGTCCATCCTTTCCAGCTGGGCCCTACAAGCATGGTATAATCTGAATATAATATATTCATAGTATGTAACAGTCTTTCAATTTTCTGAATTCCCATGTTTGTCTTGGACAAAGATTTCTTTCATTTTAGACCATTTCTGTTTTGGAAATTTTAGCTCCATACAGATAAAACTATCTGTACAGACTTTTCCAGAAGATTAGCTGTGCTCATTGTTGTTTCTAATGTAGAAGGAAAATACTTTTGGAATATTTGTAATTTTTTAAAGGAGTCACAATTGTCTTGGCCAGGCTTACAGTAGGTGCAAGCTGCAGCAATGATGGTGCTGCAAAATGGTGTTTGATGAAAATTTCAATGGACARATCAAAGAGTAATTTTGGCAAATTTAGCAAATATTAAAGAAAAATGCATTATTGGAAAACTTTCAACAATAATTAAACACATTTTTGGTGTTTTCTGCAGGGGAAACAGGTTTTATGAACAGTAGAAGAAAACACCAGATATAAAACTGGGATTAGAACTGAATGGTCTACAAGTTTAAACCATTTTTTTCTTTCAACGAGTCTAAAAATGAACTATTATTAGAATTAGACATTCTTTTAAAGACCTGACTCATCTTCTCTCAGAGATACAGCCCMTCTTTAAGTTTGAAAAACCCATGAATCCCTTCATTTGTAAATAAAATTAAGGTCTCAAATGATCAGTTTTTTTTTCTTGGTCTTTCATTAGAAGATACAGTATGTTGTCAGAACAGGTGCAACTTTGGAGTCTTTTGTCTGGATTCAGGCCAGAATTAAGATGAGGTAAATCAAAATCAAAAACTAATAAATCTAGTCTAAATGTGTGCATCTGGGGATAAACATTTTGTTATTTACACTTGTTCCTTTAGGGCCAGGTTCTCCATTTCTTCCTTGCGGTCCTTGAGGTCCCTGAAAAAAATGACACCCAAAGAGACAATCAGTTAATTCACTGATTCATCAATTGATATTATACAAAAAAGTCTTTGTTTTACCCTTTCTCCAGGAGATCCTGGGGGGCCATCGTGTCCTGAGGTGCCCTATGAAGACATGAAATGGAAGTAGAGCTGAAAGATAGCAGCGTAAAACCACAGATTACAGAACTGAATTGTTATCTGAAGCTAAGGGGGGTGAAGTGAAACCTTTTCGCCTGGTTTCCCAGTTGGGCCTCTCGCCCCCCTGGCACCTCGGGCGCCCTGCCAAAACAAAGGCAAGTGATAGATCAAACCCAAGACGCAACCTTTGAATCGATGAGGGGAAAAAAACTGATTTATGTGAAGTGAGGCGACGCCACATTCTTCAAATGTGTTCAGACTTCATCTACATGAGGATGTTCCACATCCTCCTGAACATCGTGTGCTTTCAGCAGTGAAAAATATAAATATTACTAAGTAGGAAGTCCACTTTACTCACTTACAGTACACAATCATAATTTGTTTGCAGCTGGATCTGAGAGCTAATCAAATAATCTCTGTAATTACTTGATTTATCACTACAAAACACTAAGAAATAATTACTACATATTTTTTTAAAGATGATTTATGATGTTTAATTTCTTATTTTGGGGATGGATTGACATGTTTTTGTATTTTAGGGCTGTTCAAAATTTACTTGGCTGAGCCTAATTCATTTTATTTTGAGTGCATCAAACTAAATGTTCTCTTTTTAATTAGTATTTAATTAGTTTTTAATTAGTATTGTCAAATGTATTTGATTTGTACACTGCATGAGTTGGACAGTTCAATGAAACAACCAGTACAAACAAGTACTTTGACAAAGTTGATATGCAAAAAAAAAAACAATAAAAATACAATAATAAACAATTATTCAACATGTAATGGCCCTTGGAGCAGGAATATATTATTTATATCAGGATTATCATGTAATGCAAAACCTGACAGAAGTGTAATTGTTTATAAAATAGCATCAGMATTAAATGCTTAAAAAACATTTGCAGAAGTCGTTTCCCCTCTCAGACTAGCTATTAGTTTATCAGTCATATTAGAAAGCAACTTTATTTCCTAAATTAAGGTCTGTCAAAAGGCCATCTACAACAGGTAAGATATTAACTCCAAAAGATCTGAACACTCTTTAAATGCTGTTTTAATTTTTGTTCCACAAGATACTTTGAAGACAAACTGAGTTGCATTCCATCAACAATATATAAAAAGATTTAGCAGAATTTAACTCAACTCATTTTAGCTGCGCAAACAAACATTATTTTACGAGTCATATGTGTTATTTTTTTGTTTTGTATTTGAGTTTATAAAACAGTAATATCCATGAAAACCCTGKGGTTTTTACAGACTCTGGGTAACGTTTTGATATTTTTAGGTAGAACTCACATTTGAACCCCTCTGGCCTGCACCTCCTGCCTGGCCTGCAGGTCCCTAAGTGATGCCACAAAAACAAAATATTTTTAATCCATAAAGTTAGATTTCTTGACAAACGGAGAAAAAAGCCAGTCGTCATTGTGTTTCTTGCCTTTTTTCCTTTCTCTCCTGCAGCTCCCACTGCACCTGGGAAACCATCAGAACCCTGTAGAGGACAAAGTCACATATATTCACTTTGTGTGAACTTTATTACAACCACTATCACGTCAATCTATAGCTCATTGTTTATTTTAGCTTACTTTGGGCCCCTGYCGTCCTGGATATCCTGGCAGTCCTGGAACTCCCAGTTTTCCCTAAAAAGAAAAAAAAGTCTCAACTCAAATAGCTCAATAATATGATGTTGTTGTTGTTGTTGTTGTTTTTTGTTTTTGTTTTTTTTCTTTGTTTTTTACCTTCTCCCCTGAAATTCCAGCAGGACCAGGCTCCCCCTGAGGACCCAACTGGCCTTTAGGGCCTTCAGGTCCATCTTCGCCTCGAACCCCTAGAGGTCCATTGTCTCCAACATCCCCCTTTGCTCCCATCTCCCCCTTGGCCCCAGGAAAACCATCTTCACCCTACAGACAGAAACAAATAAATGTAACAATAAAGCAGATTGAATAAAAAGTAAACATAAAAACAGACTGTGGACAAGTTGTCAGTTTTTTTTTTTTTTTTTTGGCTTTTTACCTTTTCACCTTTGCTCCCTTTTAAGCCTCTGATCCCATCTGCTCCCTGTCAAACAAAAAATAAACACACATATAGTAAGAAACTAAATGTTTCTAACTCTAGGATGTGAAAATGGTTAATTAGGCCAGTATAGCATGCTGRCATGCATCATCATGCTGTGAATAACTTTGTATTTTTTATGCAAAATTTGTTTTTTGTTTTAGCATTTATAAATCAAATGTTCTGTTTTGTCTTTCTACCTTTACTCCTCGCTGTCCAGGGTATCCCACAGGCCCTTGGACTCCCAGAGGACCCTAAAAATCCACATAAATACATGCTGAAYACACTGCAGCTTGTGCGTTTCAACAATATCAAAACAGCAGATGCTTCTCACTTACCGGCAGTCCTTTTTCACCGGGAGTGCCTTCTCTTCCAGGGTGACCCTGTTCAYAAAACGATTTACTGTTAATATCTGCAGTCGGAGCTGCAACTGTGCCTGTTAGGCTGGGATTTGAGTCTCAGGAATGTCTGGTGTCAGTAAAAATCCTCAGAAATATGAAAGCACATGCAATATGTACATACCGGGGGCCCGTCATTTCCAGGTAAGCCCCGCATCCCTTTCTTCCCTTGAGGTCCCTTGAGACGGAGATAAGCCCATCCGTCAAGACATTTGTAATAAAAGGAGAATTCTGCAGGTGAAACTCACTCACCTTCTCTCCTGGCAGTCCTACTAAGCCCTGAGGACCAGGAAAACCCTGCAGAAGTGATGCTACATTAGTATTTCAATCAAATCGTTGTCATTTTAACAATGTGTCATCAGCACACACCACGATCCCGGGATTGCCTTGCTGTCCAGGTGCTCCAATTTCACCTGCTGGCCCCTGTTACAGAAAATATTTAGTCGAGGTAGAAAAAAAATAAATAAAAAATTGATTGCAGCTATAGTGCAATTTATTGTTATTATACTCACTATGTTTCCTTTTGAACCTTGAACTCCATCGATTCCTCGAATACCCTGTAAGAACAAACAAAACGGCATGTAAACACTCTATTCTAAATGAAAGAAATAAAACAACTATAGTTTCAAAATAACAGAACACTAGAGAAATRTTGCCTTTTTTACTGTAAGATGCCAACTTCATCATGCAGAAAATACATCCTTGCATGAGTTTTTTTTTATCTTTTATCCCATGATCTCTCAAAATTGTTGCTGTCTGAGTAAAGAGAAAAACACACGACAGACATTTTCCAAACTCCCCCAGGACTGTAACTAAATGAGGCTGAAACGGTTTAGAAATTCTGTCCCACAAGCCTGAAGTCTTTACTACCTAATGAACCAGTATCAGACATAAAATATGTAAGGTAAACAAAGAGCAGTGTGTTATCACGTGCTGACAAGTGCTCCTTCATGTTGTTACATGTGCAAAAGTCTTTTACACATAACTGAAAGTAAAACGCTTCAGGCGAGTAAACAGTAATTTTCTCAGCTGAGATAAGAATTGCATAAGGCAATGTTAACATGTGAAGAACTAACCCAACACTGATTAACAGTGAGATCACAGCTGGATTCGTGTTTCTGGGCTCTTTAATTAGACGGTTAAACACRGCAGCATAGTAATGACTGGGGTTGTCTTTCCTCTTGTCAGAGAAGAGACATCAATGTGTGGCAGTGAATGTCTGTATTTGTGGGTTAAATAGAAGGTGGCACACAGGTCACACTTACTGGCAGACCTGGGGGTCCGGGGCGACCTCTGGGGCCATTCAGACCTCTGGGACCCTTAGGAATAAACATCACAGTCACATTTTACAAAAAATACAGAAAAACTGAGAATTAAAAAAAGAGCAGTCTAAAAAAACMAGTAGGAGCTGTGTCAGTAGTAATGGATTCTATTCTATTCTATTCTATTCTATTCTATTCTATTCTATTCTATTCTATTCTATTCTATTCTATATTAAAAGCATAAGTGTGTTCCAGTCATTATTAAAAAACAAGGCAGACACAAAAACCTTAAGTTCTAATAGCAGGGGCAGACAGGACTTTTTTTGCAAGGGGTGGCATGGGGGGTGGCCAAAGTGTTATCTTGGGGGRCACATATAAATAAAGCACCATGTATTTGAAAATTTAAGATGGCAACCACGGCCAAATGTAAATGACTATAAATCAGCCTTTTTTAAAGGCCCTTTGAGCTGGAATCTGTGGTGGTGTAGCCAAGAATGATTGCTAATCCAAACTTAAGCTAATCACTAATGCTAATATTGCAACGGGCTATAATTCAGCCCGTAAATACACAGATRAAAATTTGTAAACGTAGTAGTAGCCAAGAATAACCTTTAACCTAATCTGAATGTAAACACAAAATCCAAGATGGCCACCAAGGCTATGGATCTCAGCCTTTTTTTTTTTAAGAAATACTGCTCTGAAATTTGGTAAGGTGATAGCTGAGAGCGATGCCTAACAGRTTCTAAATTCAAAATCTAAGAAGTACACCAAAGCTAAATTCAAATAGCTTTAATTAAGCTATTTTCTAATACATATTGAGCTGAAATGCATTGTGGTGAAATTGTTGCTTTTATATTAATTCAGCAGTTTAGAAAATTATATATTTTTTTCTTCACACACTGATAGGCCCCCTCTACACTGGATAATACAGCTGCTTAACAGATATTTATTTTGTTTTAGCTTTAACTGGCCATATTTTATTGCATCGACACTTGCCACCCTAGTCACCCCTCTGGCTCCACCCCTAAGTGTAGATGGGGCCTTCAACTGTTAGCTTTGCCATAAAATTAACATTCGTTTGTGAGTAATAAGAAGTGGTGATTTGGTTAATGTTGAGCTAATTGATGTTCTGCTTTATAGCAGTGCTACAACTAACAATGTTTTTGTTGGTAGTTTTGCCTACGAAAAATCTGTTTTGTTTTTTGTGTGAGGTTACTACAGTAAGTTGTATTTTCCTTCAGCCTCCACAAGAGGGAGCTGCGCTGATGGAGTACGAGTTTGACACTGGTTAGCATTTTACACTSGTTTTCATTAGTCTTCAGGTTCACTGTCTTCATTTCCTTAGAAATGCAGCTCCATTATAAAACACAAGACAAAACCTAAATCTGAGAAGATCCTAAAAATAAATCATAAAAATGTTTTGTAACTGTGTWTAAACACTCACAGCATCACCTGGTTGTCCTCTTGGCCCCGGTGGTCCCTGGGAGCCCTGCAGATAAATAGAAAAGGCTTAGCCTATATATACAAAAACACAAACATAAATTAAAATAGCTTCACAAACGACCTCTCACCTTTTCTCCTGGCTCTCCTGCAGAACCTGTAGGGCCTGGTTTCCCTCTGTCTCCCTATTAAAATAAAACATGWATATAAAAATGATCCACTTCATGCCACTCACTTGTTCAGACAAGATCCTTTACCTTGTGTCCTTTGTTTCCAGGAAGACCAGGCAAGCCGTCAAAGCCCCTGTCTCCCTGATAAAGACAAATAAAAAWGGGAGTAAGACCCAGTTTTAAAAAAACAGAAGAGTAAATCAGAGTTATAACTCAGACCCCATCATAGCACTGAATCTGCACTTTACATGCTGCCGTTAGGACTCATTCTCGCACATCATATTTTTTTTCATCTATAGGCAGATGATTTGCAAATCTTTCTGTCAGTCACTCCCAGTTTCTCTCTTTGTTTAAACTCCGTTGTCAGCTGCTTAAATGACATCAAACATTGGTTGTCTCAAAATTTCCTCCACTTAAATAATGACAAAACTGAATGGATTTAGTTTGATGTGTCCATTAGCTCATCTAACATCTCTCCCAGTCTAGGTCCTTCATTCCCTCACTTCAACCAGGTGGTAAAAAAAAAAAATCTAGGAGTGAAGCTTGACTGCAACTTAAAGCTCAATAAACAGATCGATTCTGTTGAGAAAACAAGCTTCTTTCAGCTCCGACTGCTTTCTAAAGTAAAGGCACTGCTTAGTTATAGTGACGTGGAGAAGGCCATCCATGCCTTTTTGAGTTCTAGGCTCGATTATTGTAATGCTTTATATGTTGGAATGTATCCGTCTTCCAGCTTGTACCAAACTCTGCCGCTCGCTTATGAACCAACACACGTAAATATGAACATATCAATCCAGTCCTCTCTTCTTTGCACTGGCTCCCGGTTCAATTTAKGATACACTTCAAGCTGTTATTTGTTTTCAAAGCTTTGAATGGCCGTGCACCGCCCTACATTTCAGAACTTTTGAAAATCCACCAACCTAGCAGAGCTTTACGGTCTGCCGGTCAACATCTGCTCGAGGTGCCTCGCTCCAAGTGCAAGAAATGGGGGGACCGGTCTTTTTCTGTCGCTGGCYCAACAGCGTGGGATAGTCTTCCCTGTGAGTTGTGTGCCATCTCTGRCCTGGTCGTGTTCATTGCAAAATGTTAGACTTATTTATTTAAAAGCATTTGATGTTTAACTTGTAGTATTTTRTATTTTTTRCCCTCTTTTATTGTGGTTGTGTTTTTAACTTGCACTGATTTTATTGTCGTGATCCATTTGTATTTGCTTTTATCTTGTGAAGCACTTTGGTCAATGTAAGTATTGTTGGAATGTGCTATAT